GAAGAAGAAGTTAGGTTATTAGTGCATCCGCGCATATATTGACCTATATATTGACCAAATGGACGAAGAAGAATTAATGCTACTCTTTTTACTGATTTTAATGTGTCACCGTTTTAATATTATGTTGTACCGTCTAAAAAAACCAGGAAGAGGACACGGATTTAGGTTAGTATGCCCATACAATTTCATTGCAAGTTTCCAATTTTTCGTACACGTGAAAAACATATATGTGTATTCTGTGGTTCCTAGTTTGTGCAGGAATTAGTATAATTTGTTTACTGTTCAAAATTGGATTCCAGGCGGTGGTGGCGGCGTCCACTCAACAATCGATTCAATGAGTTGGGAGAGTTTCAACATCTTTTTCAAGAGATGAAAACGACGGACCATGAAGAATTCAAGCAGTACACTAGAATGACACCTGAACAGTTTGATTGGCTTTTGGACAAAGTGAAGCCATTCCTGCAGAAGAGAAGCAATAGACGTCCGTTTTCTCCTGAACTTCGACTTGCACTCACTCTGGGGTTTATATTGATTTTTGTTACACAATGAAAATTAAACTATATAGTAAACATCAAGTTATGTGTGTAATTGTTATATTTTTGTACAGGTATTTGGCGCACGCTGACAGTGTATGGGGAAAGAAGTGGTCTTTTAGGATCGGTAGATCAACTACATATAAAATCATACCTGAGACATGTGAGGCCATAATTAGTGCTCTACAGCCAACTTACTTGCCACCAATGACCAGAAATATGTGGAGGAATGTGGCTGATGATTTTTGGCAGAAGTGGAATTTCCCAAACTGCATAGGCGCCATTGATGGGAAACACGTGAGAATCAAGGCACCAAAAAATTCTGGTTCTGAATTTTTTAATTATAAAAAATTCTTTTCGATTGTTCTGATGGCTGCGTGTGATGCAAATTATACATTCACGTGGGTGGATCTAGGATTTTATGGTAAGTGCATTTGTGAACTATTTTAAAAACATTCAGCTTTGAATATACATTCTTCCAATCTCTGAACACTGCTTCTTGACTGCTAATTGAAACAATCATCACTTCTCAGGTTCAATAAATGATGGTGGAATCTGGATTAACAGTCATTTAGGAACTGCTTTGGAGCAAGGAACTGCAGATCTACCTCTCTCAGAGCCTCTACCAGGTGGGGTTGAACCACTCCCATTTTTCTTTGTTGGAGATGAAGCTTTCCCCTTGAAACCGTACATGATGCGACCATATGCAAAGCCGAAAGGACGCAGGAGGCAAGAAGATGAAATCCCAAGAAATGAAGCAGCATTCGAAAATTTTGATGAAGATTCTGCAGCTGTTAATGAGAGAGCTGATGTGAATCCTGCTTTGCGAACACTTACATTACCACAAAGAATTTTCAACTATCGTCTGTCGAGGGCCCGCAGAGTCATAGAAAATGCATTTGGCATATTGGTGGCCAAGTGGCAAATTCTAGCAGGCCAAATATGTTGCAAAGTGGAGAATGCT